TTCCCATCAATAAAGTTGTTCCGTATGCAATAAACAGAAGCTGAGCACTTATCTCTCACAAGACTTCTCCAAATTATTACACATTTTGGGCTTTAACTTTCTGAAACCACAGTTTGATTATGATTGACTCCGTAGTGGAGGGCTCCAGAAATTCGGACCATCTGTTGTTCTTTAACATGCGCGAAAAACTAAGCCAACTGGCTTCTAGCATTTCGCCCTTATCGTAATGCGGCCGTCGCGCCGGGATTTGATCCCGTTACTTTAGCGTCAGCAGTTGAGCACTACAATCAGTAGACCACCATGGTATAGTGGTTGTCAGACATGGAAACGTTTTTTTTTTCTCTTTCGAGATAAAATAAGTCCAAGACCGGTCCAACCCGAGCAAGCTCCTGGGCACAACTTCAGACAAAAGCACAGCCTGGGCCCATCCCGCGAAAAAGTTTGCCCTGCTTGGCTTTCATGCTTTGGTTTTCAGGTATGCCCGAGCCCGCGCAAGGATCTAACGTCAGCTTAACCGGATGGCTACGACAGAAAATGTCGTAGGCGGAATTTTCATTCTATCACTGCATAAAAATAGTCATTCACATAGATTTAGAGACACATGAGAGGAGCTGTCGAAGAATGTAAATGTCTATTTTTTGCGCTTTAGTGTTTCCAGAAGTTTTGAAACACCTTTCCGACTATCACGTTTTGTTAAAAATAATAGCTAGATACGCTGAATATGGACGATGTTCGCTGAGAAACGGTTCACAATTAATAAACGCTGCGCAACGCTTCGCCGCACACACATATTTCTAGCTCCAGACTTAAGGACCCTAACAACGAGTCACAGGAAGCGCTCATCGCGATGAAACGACGCTGTATCGCCAGATGCTTCTAAAGGGAGCACTAAAGGTCGAGGGCAGTCAAAACTACAGACGAAGAGCCACCGACGAATAGGACGCCGCCTGATGGGAATCCTGATCGCAGCTGTATATAGATGTTTTGATTTCAAGGCGACAGCACTAAAAGCTCTTTTCGCATAAATGCGACGTTGGCACCGCTGTCGGTGTCGTTGTAGTTAGCAGAATCGATGTAGTTCATGACTGAAAAAATGAAGGAAGGTGCAAATGAAGTACCAAAACATCCCGGGTTATGCGTGAATATCGACGCCGTTTGCGTGGCAAGCAGGTGTTCTACCACACAGCAACGCGTCTGCTTGAAAACACCGTGGAAATAACTTTGGATTGAAACTGCACTGAACATGACACTCATGCTTTGCAAACACACGCGTCCTGTATACAAGCTTCGCAATATATTATACAATATTGCAGGAATAGTGCGTGGTGCAAGTATACATTGCGATCGGGCGGCACAACATGTGATTATCAGAACGACTTCGAGGTTTAAAGTCGGCCACCCATAACAAAAGGCCAACGCATTACTGCGCTTGCGCGTATTTTCCTAATACCCAGAAGGGAGGGCATAGCAAAGTTCTCGAGAAAATTCACGCCCCATAATTGCTCGTGGTTTAAAACATGCTACCGATTACACAAAATGCAGTCACATGCAAGATCTACTCTTTACAGAAACCCCTTATTACTTATCAATTACAGTTGTAGTAATTCGACAATTCAAACATATCGAGTACCATCATACAAAATAAATTATGTGATAAGTAGTTGAAGTACGCACTACATGATATCGCTATCGCGTTCAACTCTTAAAGGCGACGCTTGAGACTTCCCCACTTTTCTTTTGCAGGTACCTTAAAGAAACAACTGGAAATAGATATGTATATATAATTGCCTACCACGCCACGAATAATTTGACTGGTGCGGAAAATTTCATGCAGCCCATTTCGGCACAACCACCGCTAGACGAGGCCTAGCGTAACTGACTTGCTAACCGGCAGAATGCGAAAGGTAGCATGCTGCTCGACAGCCGTCAGTGGGCAGGCGTCCGTTATTGCAGCGCTTTATTTCCTTGTATGGTATCGGTGGAAGCCTTTGCCGCATATTATATCGATGACGTCATCGGTGACCGCACAGCTGTGCGCACTACTGTGGCGCCACGGGTGGTCATTGTGGTACATATCGTCTCACCGCTGTCGTTCCCTCCTCTTCCTACTCTCATCGCTATCATCGTCTTTTATCCTCCACTACACTCCACGTTCGCCCTCTTTAATCTTCATTCGGTCAGCTGGTTACGGCGACGCTGATATCGCTAAACGCAGGAGAAAAGTTGGCGTATCAAAATATTAGTGCCTCTAGAAGAAAGAAGTTTGCTTTGGTAGGTTTGCCCCGCCGTGGTGGTCTGTATAGGCTAAGGTACTCGGCTGCTGACCCGCAGGTGGAGGGATTGAATCCCCGTTGCAGCAGCTGCATTTTCGATGCAAGCCAAATTGCTGTAAGCCCGTGTGCTCAGACTTGAGTTCAGCGTTATATATTTGAAGAACCCCGGGTGGTTGAAATTTTCGGAGCCCTCCACTACGGCGTCTCTCATAATCATATGGCGGTTTTTTTTGGGCGTTAGAACCCCACATATCAGAATGATTTAGTAAGCTTTATTATAGTACAGTAATGCCATATGGTGAAGTGTATTAACAGGCGAAGTAGCGGAACGTTTTGAAGTGGAGCATCGAAGCACATAACACCAGGTGAAACGCTTCAACTACCCCTGCAACGAACTTAGGAGACTTTTTGTCTTACGGCTACAAAAGCAAGGTCATGTGCATCATTTTCAACGAGATCATTAAGTGATTACTCATATTACTAAATGCGAAGGATACGTTTCAGCGTACAAGCAGTTCGAAGGTTGTTGGTTCGGATCGCATCAACGGAAAGGGTGTTTTTTTGTAAACTTGTCATTCATGCCAATACGTCGTGATGATTATTACACTGCGGTTAAAAATCACAATAAATAGGGCCCGATGTGCCTTTTCTTGGCCTAATTGATCTGTGTTGATTTGTTAGGGTTAATTAATTCCATCTGACGAAGGAAGGAGCCCCTCGAAATGAAACATCTTTTTTTTTTTCATTCAACCATACGTACTGATTGCATTCAAGCATATCACTCACTATGGTGCATAAGTCAACGTGTCCGAATTCGTCTCAAGTGATTTGCGCTAGCACGCCCACTAGCGTCGCGGCCTTTCTTTCAAAGCACGAACATAAGGAAATAACTAACAATCAGAACACCCACAAAATATTTCTCCACAGTAAACTTTCACAACCTGGCTGGAAAGATGCATTGACTAATTAACGCGCCTCTTTTTTACACCATGCAAGAGCAAAATAAGTAAGAAAAAAGGAAGAACAAGAACGAACTGAAGAAATCAGGAGGCCTAAACCAACTGATGCCAGCCCGGACGGTGATACACAAGAGAGTGGAGCGAAGAATCATGGAGGGAAAAGACAAACAAGATGGAGGATTTGACAGGGAAGATGAAAGATTGAAGCCAAGAGTAAAAACAAAACGACTGAAAAAAATTGTACTTGTAGGTCAAGAATTTGCAAGTCAAGACTTGATCCGAATATCTGTGTATTAGTTGGTTTTGTACAGTATATCGCTGAGTCGTCACTCGCTCCAATTGAGGTGGTTAGCACTTGTAGTCGCACTCCCTAATTTTTAACTCGATAGTGTTAGAGAGCTCGTGTCCCAGGAATTCTGCCATCGGCGTAGGCCCCTTGGTTGTGAGCGAAAAATCGTCCATCAGCGAAAAAGCTCGCTACAGAGATCGCCGCGGGATGCCGCTACTTGTCCCCGCGTGCACGCACGATCACACTGAGAAAGCCACGCATTCGAAGAAAAAAAAAAGATGAAGGAGTGCTCAAGGTCCCGAGGCGCGGGTGAAGTGGTTTCTTTGCCCTTCCGACCCCTCCCTCCTTAGCTTCCAGTGCTTTCGTCGGGACGAGAGAAGAAAAAATGCTATTGCAGCATGCGACAAATCTTCGTAACTCCACTCGCACTGGACAGATTCATAAAACTTTTGTGACGTTGAATTTTTGAGGCAATAGGCTCTTCCTGTGAATTCATTTCATGGTTACTTGAAAATGTGTTTCAGGGCCCCTTTAACGCAGTTTGATCGACAGGTGTCACGATGAAAACGATCCCATTCGTCGATTTGTAGGTGCATTTGGGAGGATTCAAACTACGTCGAAGAAGGCCGTGATTGTGCAGCCATCGTAGCTAAGTATGCACAGAAACTTTAAAACAGCTCTAAAAATAGACAACTATGTCCATCTAGTAGAAAACGTATCATGCCTTTCCAGAGGCGTTGATCAAGCAAACAGCAAACGCTAGATAATGTGCTGCCATCTCTGAGGCATTGTGAGACTCTTTATGGCCTCCGAGATGGCGAGCGTGCGGTGTATCTCTTGGAGGTCATGCGATTTTTGCTTTAGATCAAAAACCTGTATGTACCGATTCCGCATGCGCGCAGGTACAATCTAATGTGTGCGCGCGCGTGTGAGCGTGCGTGTGTGTATGTAACAAAACATATTAATAAGTAGGCACTTGGCTGTTGAAGGGCGCACTAAAAGCTGGATTTTACTATCGCGTTAAACTTTTAAAGCAGAAGCTTAAGGTTTTCCCAATTTCTTTTCTCTCTTTCTTTCTTCTTCGAAATTAACATTTGACATTTCTCCTATTCGTTTTTTAATACGGTAGCCTGAAATAACTCCGAGCAGCAGACAGGTGCCTCAGGGCACTGTTGTTTTGTTTTCATTACTTTAAGATAGAACTTTGCCCACATAAACCTGTCAATTGGTCTGCCATTGCGATAACCTACAGTTTCAGCATCGCTTTTCAAAGTCTTCGCATCCGGCAGTCAGTTTTACCGAGCCTTGTCAGTATGATATTTTCTACGGAGCTGTTATGACTTCCGGAGAGGTGATCAACGTCGTTGATCACATTTCCGACAGCGAGACACGTAGCTTATCCGGCGGTCTTGCAAACACGTGCAAATAATGACATATCGTACGAGCGTCGGCGTGCCCTTTCACCGCTGACGCGGCCATACCGGCCACGTCGGTGCCTGTGAAAGAGTCTCATCCACCGTGTATCAGTCAAAAGATGCACCCGCAGCACTTCGCTCACGCGTTCTAGCTAAAGTAGGCACATTCGTCATAACGGCCGAGTGGTCATCCACAAGTGGGCCGTGAACCGTCTCGGGCAAGACCAGTTATTGCTCCGTTTCATCGAAGAGACACTTGACGAAGGTACGTGCTCCTATAATGTGAGCGATTCTGCGTTTATGTATGCGCACCACAGAACCTTCGTTGCAGGAGCATCGCGAATCGTCGACAGGGTAAAGGGGTGATGACTCCTCTGCGTTATGGCTACGAGAGCAAATCTAAGCTTGACTATAATCAGCATATGCATGACAGGACGAACAGCACAGAAAAAAAAATGTGCGCATCTTACACTACTGGTACAAGGTTAGATCAAGCAGCGGAGCTACTGTTCGACCTTCCTAAGCTTTGATAGTAATGCCAAGCTTTTGATAAAGATGCTTAGTTTTCGCTAGTAGTATTATTATGACTAGACTTGGCTATTCTGAAGTTTCAGTTTGTTCGCCGCACCATGCAACTGTCCCGTGACTTTGATGTGCGCATGTCGCATGACTAGATTTTACGTGGCTTAGCGGCAAGGTGACACGTGACCACGTGACAGTTACGTGATGTAGGTTGATTTTAGCCGCGCCAATACTTGTGAGCAATGTTAAGTATTTCATTCACGTGACTAGTCGTTGTGTGATGTTACGTGATTTTTAGTCACCTTACTATAGTAGTTACATAATCTTTAGTCCCGAAAATATTGTTTACGTTACTTTAGTCCCTTCACTAGTTTATAAGTGGTATAGCGTGATTGTAATAGACACGTTCATCATAGTTATTGCATTCCACGCCGGAAGTATTGACGCACGCGTTGCGGGAATGAAGGAGAAGACGAACAAGAGGACGAAGCGAGCGCGTACCAGTTCGGAATCATGCTAATTCGTGTTCTCACTACCCGGAGCAACAAAAACCTTGATGGACTCCTCTCTCAAAAGACATTGAATGATGTATGCGCTATGAGAACCCATTGCCTGAGCCCTACAGTCACAATAAATTTGAATTTTAGCACGACAATGCACCGAGATGATCTGTACTGTTCCTGTCGTTTGTGGTACGTTTATATAATAGAGTTGTGAGTCATTTCAAGACAGAAGCTCAGGCAAAAATGGCGGCTCGAAGTGGAGAGAAATATTTGAAAAGGCGCTCTTGCTGAAGCCAAAGTTGTGAGAAGACATGTTTTTATAAGCGCAGGAGCTGCCTACTTTGGCAGAGTTTCTATGCTACCCCTTGCCCAACGCCTCCTAACCTCGACGGTCTAGGAGAAAAGAAAACAAAAAAAAAAGCCGTGAGCAATCGTTGAACACCTTCTATATTGTGACCACTCGCACAATTGTACACGTGGTTCATCTCGACTCTTTTTATTAGGTAGTGGTTCTATTCCGACCATAAGCATTCCGCCTTTTACGCATTGTTTGAGGATGCACTGGACTCGCTGTGCTTCACAAAGAAAACTGAATTGGGCTACTTCAAAAAGCTTCTTATCCCCTCTTTTCAATGACATCCGGTTTTAATGCCTGGTCGGAAGCGTTACTTGTAGCAATGAAAATAGTGTGAGCAAAAAAAGCATTGTTGCTGTACAGGCCTCCGTTGTACTGCGAGTACGAGAAAACTATTCAACGTAACAAAGCGGAATTTGCTGTACCTTTAGACGAAGTGCAATTCAAGGTTTTGATAACGGGATATTGAGCATAAACTAATTAGAAATTCATTTACGTTTCAATGAAAATGGGCAAAATAATGAAGGTTTATGTAGAAATATCTTTTATTCTTTACATAGCAGAGCCATAATATTTAGTGCCTATGTAGGCTACATTAGGTTTATTTTCCATGCGAAGTCGCTTAGTGCTCTGACAAAAACTTGAAGAATTATTATTGTGTCGATGGTGCAGTTTATGGCTGTACATGGTCACGACGCCTAACACATCCCGCCAGACAGTGGCACATACCCAGGGCGCTTATGGGCCGCTGGTATGCGAGTATGGGCCACGGGTGATTGACACTTAGTATCTACCTATAGGAACGACGAGAACACACATGGGTAATTTTAACGTGCGAGCGTTAAACAATACGCGACATCGGTAGCGCCAACAATACGAATGCAAACATTAAATGTCAGGGTGCCAGCTGGAATCGAACCCAAGCATTCTGCATCACAAAGAAGCATTTTACCACAGAGCTACGCCAGGTCTCAGAACTACTTTTCAAATAGACGCTAATCTTCGTGAAACGTCAAAACGTCAATAGTTCTTGCAGTGCTGCCTACCCAATTTTGAATGCGAAGCATTTCTTAGCGAACTTAGGCGTTTTAGAGCGTGTTTGTCTATCTATCCATCTATCCATCCATCCATCCATCTATCTATCTATCTATCTATCTATCTATCTATCTATCTATCTATCTATCTATCTATCTATCTATCTATCTATCTATCTATCTATCTATCTATCTATCTATCTATCTATCTATCTATCTATCTATCTATCTATCTATCTATCTATCTATCTATCTATCTATCTATCTATCTATCTATCTATCTATCTATCTATCTATCTATCTATCTATCTATCCATCCGCCTACGACATTTAGCTCTCCTGGCCGTTTCGATAATGATATCAACACCAAACTTGGCATTACATTACATGACTGAATGAAGAACATATTTGACTATTCACAACATGAAAATCATGACACGTATGTCATGAATGTCATGATTTACAATTCATGGTCCCGCAGCTCTCGCGGTGGTTTCGTTCACATGGCGTGTTGCAAAACTGGTATGGTATGGCATGATTGCACGGCGAACACAAGCGACAGACCCTGACTTGAATATCATGGCATGTGTGTCGTGTAACAACATGACTACATGCCAAGCTCATGATGCGCTCGCGGCAGTTTTGCTGGCGTCACATATACCAAATTTGGTATTACATTACGTGAACGGATGACGAAGGTATGTGACAGGTGCAAACATGATAATCATGAGATGCGTGCCATGTAACAACATGACTACATGCCACCCTCATGATGCGCTGGTGGCCGTTTTGCTAGCTTCACATGTACCAATATTACGTGACGCGATTGGATGTCACAGGTAAACGACACATCCAAACATGATAATCAGGGCATGCGTGTAATGTAGCAACATGATTACATGCCACAGTGACGATGCGCTCGCGGCCGTTTCGCTAGCTTCAGATATGCCAAATTTGGTAATACGTGACGCCAATGAACGACAATGGTATGTGACTGGTGCAAACATGATAATCATAAGATGCGTGTCATGTGAGAACATGACTACATGCCACAGCCAAGGCGTCAATACATTTCGACGTGACGCGGTGCGCGTGCTCACCGGCGTTCATTTTGTCGCGTCACGCCGGCATTGTCACGTCAGGCGCCGGTCCTGCCATATTCTCGCGGGTGCGCGTCGCACTGTGTTGCTATGATGCATACGCGTTTCAGCGCGTCCGGCGTCCCTCCGTCGCAAAAAGAGAGAGACGCAGTGTTGTCTGGGTCACGCATCGGCGCGAAATGCGGCATGTCGCATTTCGCGGCGGTTGCCGTCGGGCCGCTCCGACCGACGCTGGTCGCGCCCGTCACGTCTGGCGTCAGACTACAGAGTGCTCGCGTTTGGCCAACGTAGCGTCGCTGTGCCCAGCGTGCGTCAACGCTGAATTGGAGTATATTGGGCCCTTAATGATGCGCTCGCGGCCGTTTTGATAGCTCCACATATACCAAGTTTGGTGTTGCGTGACGTCAATCAATCATGAAAGTATATGACAAGTGCAAACATGATAATGTTGACACGCGTGTAATGTAGGAACATGACAACATACTTCACTTATAGAGCACCCGTGGCCGTTTCGCTAGCTCGACATATACTAGATTTGGTATCACGTGACATGAATAGATGACGTAGGTAGACGACACACCAAACATGATAATTATGACACGGAAGTGATGTACGGCATCATTTATCTCCACTTCCTAACGTTGTGCTGATTTTAACGTGGCATATCAACATTTCACATCCGTGCTTCGGAATTCATTGAGTCCCACTGTACGTAGGATCTGCCAATGTTTTTAAGCACCACGTTGCACTGTCAGCGCAGCGTGTTTAAGGCTACAGTCCTTAGAATTACTCATGTGTGCCTTCTCTAGTATAAAGGTGCACATACAAAGCATCGACGTGTTATTATGGTACATCAGATAGGCGCAGTGATTGCTTTTTAATTGACAATCGCACAAGTACGAACGCTGGAGCTGGAGCAATATTGGTGAGCGCTGTGGATGGGGTCGGCCGTTTGAGGTATCGTTAAGGGCGGACAGACAGACAGACAGACAGACAGACAGACAGACAGACAGACAGACAGACAGACAGACAGACAGACAGACAGACAGACAGACAGACAGACAGACAGACAGACAGACAGAAAGACAGACAGATTTTTCCGTCGAAGGTCCCCAAGAAAGGCTGTCGTCTTTAAAAACGAAGAGTAAGAAATATAGATAAAGTTAGCTCTAAACTATACGAAACGGTCTCGCGCTGTTCGTTCACAGGAGCTCGTGAATGAACAGCGCCGCGGTAGTCCTAAAGAAGCACAAGAGAGCTTCCATGGCCTTGCGCATATGCGACACCGTAGGCCAAAGTCCCAGGATCTTTAATGTCAGTGGTTTTGAACCCAGGTGATGGAGCTTGGTATTCCATACCGCGTCTTTGGATGTGGTATGATAGGCAGTGGCACCATATGTGCTCAATCACCTCGTTGCCGGCGCAAATGTTGCGTGCCGCAGTGCTATAGCCATTCCAATGTGAGTCCGTAGACGTCATAAATCGTGACTCGATCTCGCCTCTTTCTAGCATTACGACGCTGCATCGGCACGCTGTATGCGAAATGCTTTCAAGAACTCAAGCTCAGAGCCGTGTTTGTCGCGATTGGGAATTAGCGCGGAGCACTGGGCGGCACTGCCGGGCACCGACAGCTACGAGGGAGAAATTGGTTTGTTCAAAGAACACGGCTGACAGGCGAGACTGTTCGAGCCCTTGACGAACGACCTCCGCACTACTACGCCCAGTCAAGAGCACCCATGAAGACCCGGTCA